TGCAAATTTCTAGGCACTCTAGTGTTCAATCCACTTCCACCTTCGGATTACGAAAGGCACGAAAGCCAATATACATCCTCAGGTTTAAGAAGATTGAACAGGGGCAGTTGTTGTACCCCAAAATTTTCCCTCCCATATTTCTCAAAACATTTCAAGAAAAATCTCCAAATTACTCAAAGTAGCTCAAGGGTTGGCCAGACAAGCTCTCTCTTAAGGTAGTCTACCCCAAATTAGGGTTTTGTGTTGCATCAAGATCCTTGAGTCCAAGTGGTCCCAAATGCTCAACATTGTCCTAATATGTTATCAATATCATCCATGTCAAGTTTCAAGCCTTGCAGAGGAAGTTTGCTCAATCAATTGCTCAAAGGTCCAAAAATCGACTATGTTAGGGCAAAAGTCAAATGTGACCTACAAACAGTCAAACTTCAAGATTTCTTGTCAACATACTCATTTTGAAGTATATTTCATCATTTTATCAAGGGTTGATCATGGTTCATCAAGGATTGCTCATAATTCATCAAGACTCAAAAGTTGCTAAATTAGGGTTTTGTAGGAAAAGTCAACTCAACTTTGACCAAGCATAACTTTCTCATACTTTATTAGAAATGAACCATCAAAATCTCATTCTGAAGAAGATTCAATTCCCTACAATCCATCTTCATATCCAAATATCAAAATATGCACTCACAAGAAGTTATGAATTAGGACATTATAGGTTATTTTGAAAAGTCAACAAAAACACCTTTTTTGTAAAAGCTTCATACATGAGCATGGAATATAAAATTGATATGAGACCAAACGGGTTGGTTAGAGGACATCTCAAGCTTTCTAAAAAGTACAAGAACACCTCCAAAGGTTCAAAATTGAGGAAGTTATGCATTGTTGAAGTTGGACTTTTTTACAAAATTGCCAAAAGTCAACTATCCCCAAAACTTCAAATTTTGTCAAATGGGCCCATTATTTTTTACTTGTTTTGAGTTGGCATTATTTCCCACGTGCTCTAGCCTTGACCATGTATCCATATCATATTTTTATTAATTATTTTGATTTTGATTTGAATTTATTTGATTTAAATCAAAATAAATCAAATAAAAATCAAAGCATTGATAACAAAGGATCTTTTGACTTGTTTTAGGCTCTAATTACAGCTAGCAAGGTAATCAAACTCGTATCAAGCCATATGTGTACAAAAAGATTGAAAAAAGGCCAAATTTGGAAGGTTGTTAAAAGAGAATCAAATCAAATATCAAAGCATTGAAAGAGAGAGATTTAGACTGAGTTTGCAACCCTAATACATTGTGCAATACATAAGGGAGGCGTGCAGAAAAAAATCAGGGTTGGAGATCAGTTATAGTGCAAGAACAAAATTTGCAAAAAGAGGTAAAAAGTGTGAGATCGAAACAGGGCTTAGAGGCAGTTTCAAGGCTTGATACTTGTCTCAATCTCTTCCTGGAAATCTCCACAAGCGAAAGCAAGCAAAACCACACGTTTTCAGACCCTCCCAAGCGCTGTAAGTCATCCACGAAGCCGCCCTGTTCTTGATTTTGTATTTTGAAAATTAGGCATTGTTAACATGAAATAATTGCATATTCTGGATCACCATATCATTTGCAAGCTTTTCATAATAGCCAATTTTATTTATCTGACCTATATCACGGATCACCATTGCTAGGGTTTTGTGTTTGGTTTTAGGGCTTTTTGTTTCAGGAAAAATTGGCCCTAATAATGGCCATGGTTGCAATCAAGAGGATGAGACGAACTCACCCATGGCACTAGAATGCATTTCCATGGCCTGTAGAAGAATTTGGAGTGAGGCTGCGAGATTAGCTGCGGATAAAATCCGCAGGTAAAAGCTTCAGGTTTTTGGCCACGGTTCAAGGACAGAGATGATGCGTTGGCACTCCCCCATTTGTCCATTCAAATATTTGCACGCTTTTTTATTGTTTTTCCAATATTTCTTTTGTTTCATATATTATCATCAGTGCTTGATTAACATACAACAAAGCAACGTAGCCCAGTTGGTCACCAGGTGTACATTCAAAGCGTTAGAGGCTGGAGGTCAGGGGTTCGATCCCTGCCTCCAGCATTTGTTATTTTTCCAAATTCTTGTAGGAAATCTAGTGCATACTCAAGCCTACCATCCACCATGGACTCTCACTCTTCAGCGCGCCAGATGGCCAGATCTGGTGGTCAACATCAAAGGTGCACCATAGGCCAAGTCAATACACGTGCACTGGATTGGAAAAAGTCAAATGGATCAGTACAAATGGGCCAACAAACTGCTATTGAAACCCTCCAATCAGGCCCAATCTCTCTACTTTCTTTTACATTGTGTTTATTTTATTTAATTATTTTATTTTGTTTGACTTAATTACTAACCAATAACATAATTTCTTTTTTTATAAAAAAATCACAAAAAAAAACTTTTTTACCCAATTAAATTTCAACATTTTATTTTTGATTAATAAATATTAATTAGTTAATTAGGTTATTAATTCTAGATAACTTTAATTGATTTTGTAAATATTTAAAATCAATTAGAATTAATAGGTTTTAATCATTAATTTAATTATTTTATTTTCTTTCTTAAATTAACAAAACTCCAAAAATATGTCATTTATTATTTTTCATTAATTAATTTATTTAATAATTAATTTAGCATTTATTTTTTAGGATTTAGTTTCTTTTCTTAAAAATAAAAACAACCAAAAAACATTTTCTTTAATTAAAAGGGTCAAAACCCTAATTTCGCATTCGATTTAATTTCGCATCGCGCACTTTATTTCGCTTTATCCAATTAATGTATCTGCTCCCGGTTTGTAATAATTAATTAGGATGTTTATTTTTCCGCTTTTAAATTTCAAAGGGTTTCTTTTGGCGATGTAAATACCCGACGCCTTGTAATAATTTAGTTTAAATTCCGCACCTTTAATTTCTGCAAATATTTAACTGTTAGATGTTTGATAATAGGGTTTACATGACAAGAATGAATGTTTAATCTAAAATCAATTAGATCACCCCAAACATGTGCAAAGATAAAAATAATCTGAAATTGAAACACTCGCACATGCGTACTCTTAGGGTACACCCCACTTGGTTGCCTGCATAAACGATCATTGAGTATAGGTTGTTTTAGAAGTCGCCCTCTTGTCTAAAAGATCATAGTTGCCTCGAAATGGTTGCCTCGGATATTGTTGCCTCAAATAAATGATCTAAGACATTAGGGTTACCGCTAAGACGTCCTAATATTGCTTTAGTGACCATATGTCCCTCTTTCGAATTGACCCTCAAACTCCAACGACGGTGCTACCTACTCACTAATAGTGGGATGACATTCTCTAAAGGAAATTAGCATAGAACAATTCCTTTTTTGAGTAGGTAGATTAGTTCTTAGATACTTGCTCATCGAAAACAAAACTTTTTCACAATTACACTCTTACAAACAAGTTTTCAAAAACACTTCATTACACTCTTGAAGACAGACGCAAGAGTTAAATCGAAGTTAAAACTAAAACTTTTCAAAACCCACAAGCATGAAATATCTTGAAAAATGAATTTTTCTGTGCTTTTTTTCCTTTCCTTGTTGGATAAAATAAAAGACGGTGGCGACTCTTGCTTACCGCGACATTTTGCAAAAACAAACGCAAAATGCAAACCAGCATTCCAATAACAGTCAGTTCTCCCACCGTATCACACTTAGGATTAGAAACCTTGACCTATCTTGGATACCTTGTTTTTGTGTGCAGGATTTTGTGATTACATCCTCCGTTTGTAATCTGGAAGTCACCCGTATACAGCTGTTACTCTGCCCAATTTTTTTGAAGACTTAATATATTTTAAGAGGTTTAGTATCCTTGCTTGCTTGCTTTCAATCCAAAGAATGGGAATTTTATCTTGGCTCATAATGTCAAGCTTTAGCTTCTTGTTGGTTAGATGGTACTTATCCTTAGCTTTTACCTTATTCTTTAGGATAGTCTCTTCTACTCCTCCCATCTTCTTTAATTTCAAAAATCTTCTCCCTCCTTTTAAAAACTCTTCTTCTCTCTAAACTTGAACCACTTTCATAATAAACTTGGGCTTATACCCATGCATTTTCAAAAAAATATTTTCATAAATAAACTTCAATCAATTTAATAATACCTTGACATTTTTTTGTGAGAAGACTAAAAGTCAACCAATCTCATTTCAAACCATTTTTCCACTTTGGCTTTTTTACCTTTAAACTTTTTCTCAAAAGGTTAGACTCTTGTCAATCCTTGTAGTGATGCAAACAACTATACTTCTACAATATGTAGTGAAGAGAGATATTTTCCACTTGGGTGTTGAGTGAGGCATTGTTGATTTTAAAATCCAAGCCATATCCTCCACTTTGAGATGATGCAAATTCTCCTTTCTCATGATTGTGGGTAGTGAGTACGTTTTCCACACGGACAATGACAATGATGTCTTATCTCTTAAAATTAACCAACACACTTGTGTTTCAAACTTTTTTAAAGAGGAACTACGTGTACCCTGATCCCCTATTGCACGAAAGGTGGTACGTAGGCACTAAAGGTTCACGACCGCAGCGGGTGCAAAAATCATAAAAAAATATATTTCTTTTCTCACCTCCACCATCCATTTTATGTACAACACATTTTTATAGAGAAAATATACAGATTTTACAAAGAGGTTTCTGCGGAGTACCGTAGATGTTTAGGGTGCTAATACCTTCCCTTTGCATAACCAACCCCTTTACCTTGAATCTTTCCCCCTTTTTGGGTTATTCGCTCTTTTCCCATTCCTTTGGAAACAATAAAGCGCGGTGGCGATTTTGATTTTGATTTGTACAAAGTCTAGTCAATCCAATGGCTTAGTCTTGAACATTTCTACCGCTACAACTAGGGCTTGATGAATGGTTTATTTATTTTAATGATGATGTACAAGATGAAGAAATTGTTAATCACAACCTTTATAATAATGTTAATGGTCATATCTGGGTTGAACAAGGTGTTGAAAACATGCTAAGCAAGGTGTTAAAGCCTCATGTTGATCAATTCGGTGAAGGTAATGATGATGATATCAATGATGACGATGATGAAGGCCTAAGGTTTGATGATAGTGAATAAGAAAGAACATGTCAAAGAGATGAAGGAATTATCCATATTAGAGTGGAAATACCATTTGGTTGTAATAGGGGTAAGGTAAATGAGAAGTCACGTAGATTCAAGGTTATGGGTTCCAAAAATCCAAAGAAGATGAAATCCCCATCCAAGGAGAATATGTTTGTTCCGCAAGTGTTTTGGGATCTAGTTCAAATAGGAATACCAATAATGTTGGAAGTCAAGATATGGACTATGATAATGAAGAATTGGAAAGCTCATACCCTGATGATAGTGGAAATGAAAAAAAACATAAAACTAAGTATGAGAAGTTTAGAGAGGAGCTTCTGAACAAGGAATTCCAATTTAAACTAGGTGTGAAATTTAATTCTTTATATGAATTAAAAGATGCAATTAGTGAGTGTGATGTGTTTATGGAAAAACTTAGTGAGTCTTTTAGTAGTATAATTTTACAAGATAGGGGTAAACTAATCCCCACAGTGTATGAGTGGATTAGGAACTATTTAACGAATAAGGTTGCTAACAATTTATTTAAGCTTGACAAATGAAAACATAAGGTAATGCCCATGCCTAGGAAAACATTAGATAAGTAGGTTATATTAAGTGGTCAGTGGCTGCCAACATGGAGTATGGTTAAGGTGTAGCAAGTTCATCATCCATATAATGGACTTCAATTTGCAGTTGATCTAGGAAAAAAACTTTTACATATTGCTTTTTGGAATTAGGGGGTATGCCTTGTAAACTTGATGCGTCTGTTATACAATATTAAAATTTGAATCCTGAATCATATGTTGATTCATGTTACATAAGGGAGGCTTATAAAACATTTATGAAAATAATATAAGTTCAATCAATGGTAAGGACATGTGGCCAAATGTGAATGTTGAAGACATATTACCACCTCAGTATAAGAATGGTCAAGGTAGGCCTAAGAAATTGAGGTTTAGGGAGCATGATGAATTACTGTCAAGGATGAATAGGTATGTAATAGCTTATAGATGCACCAAGTGTGAAAAATTTGACCATAATACAAGGAATTGACAGAGTAATGAACTAGATCCTAATACATTAAAAATAAAGGTAATTATTGATGCTTGTTTAGTGTTTATCTCATTTACTATGAATGAATTGAAAACTGTGTGGCAAACTTATTTCATTCTGACTGTGTGTAGAAGAAAACACCAAGGAAGAAGGCTTCATCAAGTGTTGCTAAAGTGGTGTCTAAAATAAATGCTATTGAAGGTGTGTCTGAGGAAAATGCCACTCAATGTGTGTTTGAGGTTGATGTGATGATTAAGAAGATGATGGAAGCTTTTGAAGATGAATTATCCCAAGATCCACATTCTCAAGTGTGTAATCCCACACCTATTGTTGAACAAGCAGAGAAGACACAAGAAGATGTTGAGAAGAACAAAAAACTTAAAAAGAATAAACATGTTTAGAAGATGAAACAAGTTGAGACATATAAACCTCCACCACCTAAAAAGAGTAGTGATAGGTTGAAATTTGTTTGGAGATCTAAAAATAATAAGGGCCCATGATCAAATTCAGATGCACTATTGAAATTTGATGACTCTCATGGTCCTATGAAGAGAATGAAGTCATGGGATGAAATTTCCAAGCAAGTGCCTCGGTAATGCTTAATTTATGCATATTTGTGCTTATTTTGGAACATCTATGTAATGTAATTTAATAACACCAATGCTTAATTTGTAGTTATAGTTTGTAATGTAATTTAAGAACATCTATGTTATGCACAATATGTGTTACTTCTGGAACATCTTTGTAATGTACAATATGTGCGTATTTTGGATCAACAAGTATTGGGAAATATATGCTTATTTTGGATCAACATGTTATGGAATTAATGTTAATGTTATGAAATGGAATTAACTGTCAAAATGGAAAAGTTATGTTCACAATACTGTCAAATTTCTGTCTAAATTTGTATATACATAACAAGTCCAAATTATGTCCAAGTTATGTCCTAATTATGTCAAAACATGCTTATGTCTAAATTGTCATGTGAGTATACTAAACACTTTAACAATTATGTTAAATTTTAAACCATAAACACTAACTTTTAATTCATTTAAAACAAATTATAATATACATCAACATTTCAATGCAGTACACATCAAACTTGTTACATCAGTTTCTAATACATGCCCCTAAAACTAGATGAAGAAAACAAGGAAGAAATAACTACTACAATTACAATTTTCATCTTCTTCTTCAAGCTCTTAAAATTTTTCTTCATCTCTTCAACTTCTTTTGAGAAAAAATGAGTTCTAATCTATTTCCCAAAATATTTCCCAAATTTCTTCAACAGTTGTATAATTTCTCCTTCATGTAGAGTTGTTTCTCTTTCACATCAACCAAAAAAATCACCAACCAAATGGAATAATTAACAGTCTTATTTTGTACCCTTATACTTGTATTTCCAGTATTTTCTCTCCGGATTTTCATAAGGCTTTGAAACAAACATCTTCATAGAAATATTATGTCCATATTTTGGAGTGATTCTTCCATTTAAAGACATGTTTGACTTTGAACTTTTTGAGATTTTGATTGATGATTGAGGAATATGAAGGATGAAGACGATGAAAATGAAATCGAAAAAAATGACGGGGAATAAGGAAATGAGTAGACATAATGACGGGGAAGAAGGAAAGGAGCAAACATGTTGAAGATGAAGGGGACAAACGAGCATCTGAATTTTTAGGGTTTCTTCAAATGAAGATCTGATTAATCATGTTTTAGTTTTTGTTGGGGGTATTTTGGTCATTTAAATAAGTGAAATAAACTTGTGGAATAAAAATTAAATAGAAAATGAAAAAAAAATAGTGCCACATCAGGTTTTTTGATGACTAGGTCTGACGAAGGTGTAAGATAGGGGAATCTTCAAATATTAGGGAAGTTTATCAAACTTTTTTACAGGTTTTTTAAAATGGCCCAAATGACAGGGGAAATAACTATTAACGCAAGATAAAATTAACATTAATAGTCAAATTAAATAAGATAAGGCACCCCTAAATCGATATACATATCTCTACTACAAATAATATATTTCATGGCAAATCTTTCACCTCAACCAATGAAAAACCGAGGTTAAATGATCTAAAACGCGTCATTTTATTTTTTAAAATTAAATCTTGTCCCTCGATTTTGTAGAAAACTGATAGAAAATATAGCTCAGGGTTTGAGCTTCAATTCTCAGTTCCTACAATTGTATGCTTTATTTAAAACCAAAATGGAGCCCTTATTTTATAAATCATCTTATCTCTTGATTTTCAATAAAACCCACATGAAATATTTATTAATATTTTATTTATTTAAATTGAATCCAATTTTTACCTCGGTTATGTACCCTCATCTTTCCAAAAACTGGAATGTAAACTCTAAACAGTGTTATATCCACTCAACAAAATGTTAAGCCTCATTCATTTTCCACTATGTCTCATAAACTTTTTGCGCCTAAGCGAATAAAAGAAACACCACTCTTCTCCACCTAATGAACTGGAACACCATTCTTTATCTTCTCCATGAGAAAGGAATCTCAAAACTTAAAGCAACACTTTTCTGTGACTCTCTCATCACATTCTGGTATGTAGAACTTTCTTCATGATTGTAGCATTAATGTTGTTGTTGATGTTGGTGTTGTTGTTGTTGTTGTTATTGTTATTATCATGGTTTTTTAGACTTAGAGTATTAATGTAGTGTTGTTTTACAGGTATTTTTAATAGTTGTTGTTTATTGTTATTGATGTTTTATTGATATAATGTTCATTTTTGTTGGTTGTGTACGACTTTTATTTTGTTTTCAAAAGCTGATTGTGATCATGGATTGTAGTTGAACGAAAGCCAATATATTAAGTAAATGGTATGAGAATGGAATGATTCAATTTCTTAAATTTGCGGGAAAAAACTTTCCTAAAGTTAATGGGATTTTTTGGTGTCCTTGTAAAAAATGCGGAAATATGCAAAAAAACATCTCTGGGATGTTATATTCAATCATTTATGGTTTGATGGAACTATTCAAAATTACACGAAATGGGTATGTCATGGTAAACTGACAAAAAAGACCTACATCACATAAATTTTAAGTAGATGAATTTATTAATGATACTCTAGAAGATATGATTTGTGATATTGAAGTAGATGATTTTAAGAAAGCCTATGTGGAATATACTTTTCAAAGAAACATGGAAGGGTCGTTATATTCGGGATGCAAAACTTTTACAAGATTGTAAAATGTGTTAAGACTATTTAATCTTAAGTCAAGACGTGGGTGGAAGGATAAAATTTTCACTTGATTGCTTGATGTTTTGCAAGAAATGCTTCCAGAAGGTAACACGTTATCGAACAATAGTTATGAGGCCAAGAAGATATTGTGTCCAATAAGTTCAGGTTATGTCAAAATACATGCACGTCGTAATGATTGCATATTATACACGAAAGAGTATGAAAAATTGAAGGAGTTCTTGAGGTATGGGAAGTTATGCTACAAGCAGAAGGACAATGATGCTGAAGATGATGGTAGTGTAACTAGAAAGGGTGTTCCTTCCAAGGTGATGTGGTACCTATCGATAATTCAAAGTTTCAAGATACTTTTTTCTAATGTAAATTACACAAAGAATACTGGATGACATGTAGATGAAAGAGTATAGGATGGAAAAATTGGCCATGTAGTTGATTCATTGCGATGGAATAAAATTGATTCATTGTTTCCAGATTTTTCCCTTGAGCCAAGGAACCTTAGGCTTGGACTTGCCATCAACGGAATGAACCCATTTTCTTATTTGAGTACTAACCATACATTATGGCATGTTCTTCTCATAATTTATAACCTATCTTTGTGGTTGTGCATGAAAAAGAAATATATAATATTATCATTGATGATTACAGGTACAAAATAATCAGGAAATGACATAGATATTTAGTTAATGCCATTGATTAAATATTTAATAGTTTCGTGGGAGGAAGAGATTAATGTTGATGATATGTATACAAGTGATAACTTTAAGATATGTGTCATGTTGTTTTGCACAATTAATGACTTACCAACATATGGTAATTTTTATGGGTACATCGTCAAGGGACATAAAGCGTGTCCTATATGTGAAGACGATACATGTTCCTACTAATTAAAAAATGGAAAAAATTTGTTTACCTTGGGAATCAAAAATTTATAAGACCTAATGAAAAATAGGAGTTTGATATCGCTCTAAAGCCCGTAATTGGGGATAATGTTTACAAAAGACAAAAACACATTGATGTTGTATTTGGAAAGAAATAAAAAGGTGAAGGTGTGAGAAATACAAGAAAGAGGGGTTTGAATTGAGTTTCACCAAATAAAATCTTTTTGTTTGTGACATAACAAGTTAGCTTAGAACATAATAGTAAATAACACAATGATTCTTATCCTGGTTCGTTGTTAACTAAGCTACTCCAGTCCACCCTCTCAAGGATGATTACGCCTTCAACAAGGACTTAATCCACTATAACCAAACTGATTAAAAAACAACCCACAATAAGTCTGATCAACCTTATTGACACCCTTAATAAATCTGTCGATCCTTATTGTAAATCCACTCAAGCCGCAATAGGAGTCTTCTTGAAATCAGACCTTCACTCAGTCTCTCAAGGTATCATTCAACAAAAATTGAGTACTTTCAGTGTATTACATATTTGCTTCTTGTAAGCAGATTACATAGACTTTTTAGTACAATGAAAAACACCTAAGTGTTCTACTGCAAGATACGAGTAACAACTCCTTTCTTATCTACAAAATTATACATAGTTGATTTCTCTATAAAGTTTGCACAATGCTTTTGTGTAGTTTTATTGAGATTGATTTAATCTGATAGATTTGTCATTGTAGTGTTGATTCTTACTTTTCATCGGCTTCCAAGTTTTCCTTTTATAGTTTGTAAAAGAGATATGTTGAAAGGGTATGTTAGAACATAGTTTGATTCTACAACCATTGTAAGAGTTTTGATGATAACAAACACTCAAAGAACAATTATGCTCCCTAAATTTGTATTTTGTTTTGTAGAGAAGTTCTGATAGAAGAAGCATAGAAGATGAGTTAAATAGTTGTTTTAACTCTGATTCTATACATCTCTCAAAGAAGTTATAACGTTGAAAACAAGACTCTGTGTTTCTGATCCATAAAGTTATGAAAATAAGAAACGGTAACTTTCATCTTCTGAAGCAAGCATGTTCTGAAGCGTTACAAATCAACTATTGCCATTTCAAAAGTAACGGCTGAAAGGGAACAAAGATCTCTATTTTTGGAAAGCTCTTTAATTATGATTGATCAACATTCCCAAAGCTCCTACATGCATCACCTATTTAAACAAAGTTTGAAGGAGAAATCGTTCACGATTTTCATGCACAACAAAGTAGTAATCTTCATCATCTTCAAACGTCCTAAATCTAAATTGTGTAAACATCACTTGTGATACTGTTTTATTTGAAAACATTTTTGGACACTCTCTTAAATATTGTTTAGTGTATTTCCTTGAGAAAACCGGATTGTGGTTTAAACTCAAGAAGACTTTGACCGTTGTCATAGTAGCTGCGTAATCAAGTTTGATTAGTGGATTAAGACCTTGTTGGGAGAGGCGAAATCACCTTGGCGGGTAGACTGGAGTAGTTTGAGTGAAAACGAACCAAGATAACCAACGTGTTCTTTTATTTAAGTTTTAAAAAGCCCAATTCAAACCCCCCCTTTCTTGTGTTTTTCCATTCTTCAATTGGCATCAGAGCGCCTGGTTCTGAGTACAAGCACTTAACCGTGTCAGAAAAAGATCCAAGCAAGAAATACATTATGGTGGAACCAAGTCAGAAAATCAGCAATGACTACCATGATGAGAAAGACAGAATCAGCGGCAAACCTCCTATTTTTAATGGTGAGAACTTCGATTACTAGAAAGACAGAATCGAAAGTTTCTTTCTGGCTCATGACGCTGATCTCTAGGACATGGTGACTGATGGGTACATACACCCTATTGATGAAGCGTTCAGAAGATTGACAAAAAAATAATTCCAGATCATCAAAAGAGAGATTTCACAAATCATCACAAGGCTAGAACTATTCTCTTGAGTTCTATCTCATACACAGAGTATGGGAAGATCACAAATAGAGAATCAACAAAACACATGTTTGACTCCTTGAGAATAACGCATGAAGGCAACATGCAAGTCAAAGAAACCAAAGCTTTTGGTTTCATTCAGAAGTATGAAGCCTTCAAAATGGAAGAAGATGAAACTATTAAAACAATGTTCTCAAGGTTTCAAATTCTGGTGGCTGGGTTAAAAGTTCTGGATAAAGGGTACTCAATTGTTGTCCATGTAAAAAAGATCATTATAAGTTTACTCAAGAAATGGAGACCCATGGTCAAAACTCTTAAACTGGCCAAAGATCTGAACAAAATATCTCTCGAAGAACTTGTCAGCTCCCTGAGAAGTCATGAGATAAAGTTAGAAGAAGATGAGCCCTAAAAGCAAGGTAAGTCTTTAGCTCTTAAATCTAAAAAAAATGTGAATCAAAAGTTTTGCAGGCAAAAGAATAAAACTCTGGTGGATCCTCATCAGAAGAAGATGAATTGTCTCTTCTCTCTAGAAGAGTCAATCAGTTGTGGAAGCACATGCAAAGGAATTTCAGAAATTCCAGAAGAATAAGAAATCATTCTGAACCATCTTCTGG